CACCCCCACCCTGCCAGCTATTAAATTTTCCCCAGTGAGCCTGCTGCTGAACCAACCAAACCTAGCCATGGTTGATTGGCTTCAGTATTTTAACATTGAGACGAATGCTCACAGTCAGCTTTAAAGGGGAAAATCCTCGCGCATTTAATCATCAGAAATGTAAGAAATAATACAAAATTTTAAAATAATTACCCCCCACCCCCCCCCCCCACCCCCTCCCGGTGAGCTCACCTAGTGCCTACATAGACCTATCTCAGAGTGACGCGAACAATCGTCAAGATGTTTCACGCGGCAGACGTTAACTGCCGCTGGGGAGTGGGGGGGGGGGGGGGGGGGGGAACGTAAAGCGGAGCCCGGGGCTATTTTGTTATGACGGGCTGGAAGTTTTATCACCCGCCCTTCATAGGGAGCTACATTTGTCTTGTCTCCGTCTGTTTTGCGAGTCTTAAGATATATATATATATAAATATATATATATATATATATATATATATATTATATATATATATATATATATATATATATATATATATATGTTACGGTCAAAGCCCGAAGTGCGGCCAAACCCCGGATTGGCCGGCCAATGCGCGGATTGGCCGGCTCTCTTGGCCAAAGCCCGAAGAACTTAGAACTAAGATCGTATTTCGTACATTGGCCGGCCAATGCGCGCACTGGCCGGGACGTACTGGCCAAAGTCCGAAGTACTTAAACTTGACAGCATATTTTGTACATTGGCCGGCCAATGCGCGCATTGGCCGGGTTGTCCTGGCCAATGTTGTATCTAGACTAAGTTGTGATCGCGTTTTAATTATTCTGGGTGCGGTTTCATTGTGAGTAACGTATTGTTTAGCTCTTGTTTGTATAGCATTCTATTTGCAAGGCGACATGGATCAAAAGGGCCGCCAGACCATGAGACAGACATAGCAGATGGCTGTCAAAAGAAAAAAATGTAAATCCATGTTAGTTTCCATATATGGGCTACAACTGTATGTGACAGCCTCCTCCATGATGACGAGGTGAGACAATCATCAAAGAACAAAATCAAAGGCAGTCGGCGTCACCGACCACGTGCAACAACACGGAACGTTCAAAAGACTTTTCCGCGTTCCTAGATGTTCAAAACATGATGATGACATGGATGCAAACAAATGAATCAGCTCATTGGGCTGAGAGTCTCAAATTCATTCAATTTATGAAAAATCGTTCTTTTCATCAAGGAATCCAACAATCACCATACGAAGCCTTGTTTGGATGCAAAGCAAAAGTGGGACTTAGCACTTCAAATCTACCAAGAGAGGCTCTGAATAAAATAGTTACTGAGGCAGATCTTGAGAACATTGAACAAGAAATGGAGGTTGCCATAAATGCAACTACATCCTCAGCTAACACATCTACTGCCGTGGCGGAACGTCCAGACCAGTTGCGTGACAATAATGTGGCCAACAGATTCTGTATAGTTTGTGAAAAACATTGTAGTGCAGCTCATTCTTGTGGATCCTGTGGCAAAGGTCAGCAGCTCATACTGGCTTGCAAAATCAAGGTGCTAAGATGCTTAAAACATCAAATACAAAATTAAAAGATGGTGAAGTGGGTGACAATGTACGCATCCGTGTTCCAGATGTTGACAGAGGTCGCGGTGATCCCCGAAGCGTGATTGCATTTGTCATGAGCGTCGAGGGCGGTTTCTACAAATTAGGAACGGAACATGGTGTTCTAAAACAACTGTATGCTAGAAGTGAGTTTTCAATTCTTCACGAAAAACTGCTCTTATTGTCGTCAGTTGGCACTGAGGAAAAATCACTACGAACCATCGCATCTTCATCGCATCTTCACAATCATTGACTGGGGGCCAAGGCTACACTCGCTGCAATTGCACAACCAAGTGTACAACAAATCGCTGCAAGTGTAAAAATAACAAGCTGCTTTGTAATTCTAAATGCTATAAAAGTTCAACTTGTTGTAACAAATGATAATATTGATTGATTGAGACTATAGTACAATAAAAAATTTGAATGTTTCTGTCATTTACTTTAATTAATAATCAATAAAGACTTAATTTCATGATCCTACCGGCATAAAAAAAAACAAAATCTGCTCATGATCTTCTAATTAAGACTTTGGCCGGTCCACCATGGCCAGTCCGCGGACTGGCCGGGACTGGCCGGCCAAAGGCCGAAATCAAGAGCTATTTCAGACTTTGGCCGGTCCACAATGGCCAGTCTGCGGATTGGCCGGCCAAAGGCCGAAATGAAGCAAAGTTTCGGACTTTGACCGACCTATGGGAGGCGATATTGGCCAATGCGCGGATTGGCCGGCCAATCCTAGCATTGGCCGACTTCGGGCTTTGACCGTAACATATATATATATATATATATATATATATATATATATATATATATATATATATATATATATATATATATATATATATATATATATATATATATATATATATATATATATACATATATATATCAATAAATAAATACATAAATACATAAATAAATATATATATATATATATATTTAGAGTATAAAAAAAGAGAGTATAAAAAATACTAACTGTAACCCTAACAAAAACTAATGAAAGCAATCCGGTAGAAATTCTACTTAAAGTATGTTTACATTAAACTGGCTGACACGATAGTAGCTGCCCATAACACCCCCCCCCCCCACCTCCGACCTCTCTACCTGCATGCATGTATAGGTAGTGCAGTAGTTTTACAGACAGTAGTAGCATCAGATATACATACTTTATTTTTATCTGAGAGTATCTAGTGGGACTGAGGTGAGGTACCTTCAGTGAAAGGTGTGCGGCCTACACATAATTCACATACATAATATGTACTTAAACCAGCCCCTCCCCCCCCCCCAAATTATAGTACCACCCCTCCCCTTGAAAACTTCAAGTACCCCTACCCTCCAACTAGAATGTTTAAAACACTGCCTACGATGTCAACAAGTCTATGTGCGGGCTGTTGCTTCAGATTTAAAATTTAGCAAACATTTATTCTTCAGCTTAATCAAACGGAATGTCTGCTGTTAAATTGTCGCTGTTGGCAGTATTAGTAAAACTGTCGCAGCTGTTTACTTATGAAAAGGTTTGTGTCTCTCTCCCCTAGCTTTAAACAACCATCGCTGAGTAGCGATTAAAATGAATACAGTATTTATAGTACTCCATTTGTATTATTACTCTACAAATATCTGATCTTTGTTATTGGTTGATAAGGGATGACTAAGTTGTAGGATACCAGACTAAGATGAGTTGTCTTTAACGGCATTCTATTATATAGGGCTATTTATTTGTTTACAGGCAAGGCTGTAGGCTCGGGCTACAGGATTATAGGGAAGGTCGCAGGGTTGGGCTACAGGATTATAAGGCAGGTCACAGGGTTGGGCTACAGGATTATAGGGCAGGTCGCAGGGTTGGGCTACAGGATTATAGGGCAGGTCGCAGGGTTGGGCTACAGGATTATAGGGCAGGTCGCAGGGTTGGGCTACAGGATTATAGGGCAGGTCGCAGGGTTGGGCTACAGGATTATAGGGCAGGTCGCAGGGTTGGGCTACAGGATTATAGGGCAGGTCGCAGGGTTGGGCTACAGGATTATAGGGCAGGCCGCAGGGTTGTGCTACAGGATTATAGGGCAGGTCGCAGGGTTGGGCTACGTGCTAGGGCTACAGACTAGAGCTAAAGGTTTGGGCTATAGACTTGGGCTTTAATCTATTGCTACAGTTTAGGGCCACAGGCCGCACGCATTATTTGTGAGTGTTATAGTTCATAGACCATCGGAATGTATTGAAGAAGAAAATTGTTCTTTTGATTTTCATTTATCAATTATTTCTTTTTTTTTTTTTTTTTTTTTTTTTTTAATTATTTTAATTTTATGCAAATTATATTGAAATGCGCAATTTGGATCAAGTGAAATTGAACTTAATCTGATTATATATACTAAAACATTAAACTATTTATTGCAGGTAATAGTTTAATTATATAAACTAAAGCCAATTGATAATTCTGAAATGTATCATATAGCCTATTTAAACAATGTTACAATTTAAAAAATATTTATATTTACTTCTATAGTTGTATTAGTATTTTATTATTATTATTTTTTAAATTAGTATTTTTAATCAACTTTCATGAATATAGTGAAAAGTTATTCACCTTGAATTCTAAAACTTATAAATGGGAAGTAACTAATAAATTTAATAAACAAAGTTATCTATTTTTACTCAAGCTACATTTATCAAATGTCATTATTAAATGTGTCTGTCATTATCAAATGTGTCTGTCATTATCAAATGTGTATGTCATTATTAAATGTGTCTGTCATTATCAAATGTGTATGTCATTATTAAATGTGTCTGTCATTATCAAATGTGTCTGTCATTATCAAATGTGTCTGTCATTATCCAAAGTGTTGGTCAACAACTTATGAGTCGGTCACCACCTAATGAATGGGTCACCACCTAATATGTCGGTCACCACATAATGAGTCGGTCACCACCTAATGTGTCGGTCATCTCCTAATTAGTAGCTCCCTCCCTTATGTGTCAGGAGGTAGCTAATATGTCGGCCACTAGCGATAAAGTTTGTGTCACCGTTTCATTTGTGTGCCAACAATAACTGGCCTAAATATCCACCCACTGTCTCCCGACTTTGGACAACGTAGATTTCTTAATCGCCAATTTCTTCCTGTATATCATTCAGCCATCAATAACGACATGTATTTCATGCTACTACCAATAACTATCTCACTTAGTCACCAATAACTACCTGTATGTAAATTAGCCACCAATAACTATATGTGTCTCATTCAGCCATTAATAACTACCTGTTTGTTATGCTGCCATAAATAACTACCTGCATCACACAAAAACCAATAACTACCTCTACCTCATCTAAAGAACTACCTAAACCACACAGTCACGTAATGTACCTAGCACTACCTACATCCAACTATTCCTCACTATACAGACTTCAAATGTCAACGTGCTTACCTTTCCTTTCAAATCCATTTTTTTCCCAGCCGTCTCCCAGAATAAAGACAACTTTCTAATCGCCGTACGAAGTTCCCTGGCTGGGGCACATTCCTGAACCTAACGTGCCGACGACACTTAACCGTGACACAAAAACCTACACACTACTACTGATGTCACGAGCTAATGCAAGTTAAACAGTAGCACTCGTTATTTGCTGGAATATTCACTCACTACAGATTTATTTCTGTTATCTAAGCGTTGAGGCTATTCTTATTTACCAACACACATCTCACTAGATCTTGATGCAACTTGTCTTCAATAAATGTCATACATTACATTTCCCTTGATCTAAATAATAAATATTGATACAAACTTATTTCTGTCTAACAGTTAACTCGTAATTTTCTTAACACTTGGTAAACAAAAGATACGTATCAAAACACATTTTAACCACACGTTTTTTAACCACGAGAGGTTATATGTAACTTTGTATGTATCAGTGAACAGCGAACGAAATCCTCTACTACAACAGAATGCATGTGTCAAGACGTCTGTAATTTCTCCACTGCTAATCCGTGGGACTTGATTAGCCAGCACTGCGGAACAGACCCCAATTCTCAACCCCCCACCCCCTCCCCTCGCTCCAAACACAGTGGTAGCTTAACCGCGAACTTTCGGGCTTTCCCGAAATTCTTCGTCACGATACGAAACCGGATGAAAGAAAAAAATAAAAAAAATAATTATAATAAAAATAAGAACGCTATAATTTTCTTTTAGGTCATCGTTTTTTTTTAAATTTATAAACAACGTTACACACAGAAGGAGCAATTAAACTTAAAAAAAAAAGATTCCTCCTAACAAAACCCGGTTATCGTTCCTGTCCTGATACTACGAACCTTTACTCCTGCGGCTCGAAATTTCGTATCTACGCTTTAAGAAACCCAGTGCAGGTAAAGCCACTTCCGGAAACGGAAAAATGGGAAGTGGGGAGGGGAGGGGGGGGGAGATTGTGGATCAGGGGTGGGGGGGGGGGGGGTTATTGCAAGAGACCAAGCCCAATCGCTTTTCTTCTAAAAAAAATATCTGAAAGCAATTTAAACGTGAAAATACTCGCCTGTGGAAAACTTCAGACAGGGGGGATAATTGATAGCCAAGTGGAGACGAGTTTTTTTTTAAATGTACAGGGGGACAATCCTTAACTTATATTTCAGATAAAAGCTGGTAGCGTGGCTCAAGCTGTCTGTAGGCGGGTATCGGGATTTGAACGTCTTTGTACTCACGTTAGTTGCACATGCGCAGTAACTGGTCACGTGGGAACGATGCGCTAATCAGGGGCATGCGCGTGTCTGGTCAGTGGAGGCACGTGAGTGGTCGTCTATATGTAAGAACGTGCGTGAGTACAGGACTAGCCCACATCTCAATTCTTAGTTTATACTAATTATAGATTTTAAAACCATTGCCGTATTGAAGGTTTACACTTAATTAAAAACTAATGAAGATAGAGAACATACAATTAAAAGTATCTGGTCAATCAAATGTATTTTACGTATAACTTTGGTAGAGACAGGTGAGTCAGTGGTAGAGGCAGGTGAGTCAGTGGTAGAGGCAGGTGAGTCAGTGGTAGAGGCAGGTGAGTCAGTGGTAGAGTAATGTGAGTTAGTGGTAGAGGCAGGTGATGAGTGGTAGAGGCAGGTGAGTCAGTGGTAGAGGCAGGTGAGTCAGTGGTAGAGGCAGGTGAGTCAGTGGTAGATGCAGGTGAGTCAGTGGTAGAGGCAGGTGAGTCAGTGGTAGAGGCAGGTGAGTCAGTGGTAGAGAAAAGGCAATAATCTTACAAACGAAGTATGTCATTACAATTTAATTACGACTTTTTAAAGCTGCCTAATTAACTCTCTTGTAGATTTCCAATAACAAGGATGTAAACATAATTAGGCATCTTTTAAAAGTTAATCTGAGTATGGGAGGTAGAGGGTTAAAATTCAAATGGGAGGGAACCGACTTTTGTTTTTATGTGGGAGAGATGATGAGGATGGTAGATGATGTATATTTACAGCAGAGATGTTTAATTTAACATAGGAGGGAGGAGATTTAAATATACCTGGTGGTTAGAAGAGTAAGTTTACCTGGGAGGGAGAAAATTAAATGTTTGTGGGATGGTGAAGTTTAAGTTTATATGGGATGGAGAAGATTTAGTTTACGTGGGAGGGTGAAGATTTAGTTTACGTGGGAGGGAGAAGATTTAGTTTACATGGGAAGGAGAAGATTTAGTTTACGTGGGAGGGTGAAGATTTAGTTTACGTGGGAGGGAGAAGATTTAGTTTACGTGGAAGGAGAAGATTTAGTTTACGTGGGAGGGAGAAGATTTAGTTTACGTGGGAGGGAGAAGATTTAGTTTACGTGGGAGGGTGAAGATTTAGTTTACGTGGGAGGGAGAAGATTTAGTTTACATGGGAGGGAGAAGATTTAGTTTACGTGGGAGGGTGAAGATTTAGTTTACGTGGGAGGGAGAAGATTTAGTTTACATGGGAGGGAGAAGATTTAGTTTACGTGGGAGGGAGAAGATTTAGTTTACGTGGGAGGGTGAAGATTTAGTTTACGTGTGAGGGTGAAGTTTAAGTTTATATGGGAGGGTGAAGATTAAGTTTACATGGGAGGGAGAAGATTTAGTTTACATGGGAGGGAGAAGATTTAGTTTACGTGGGAGGGTGAAGATTTAGTTTACGTGGGAGGGTGAAGATTTAAATTTAAATAGGAAAGAAGGGACTCATAAACAAGTAAGATAAAGCGGATTAATCTACATATAGCGTGGGAGAGGATTAAAGTTAACGTGGGACGTCTGGGGAGGGCTGAGAGAATCAAAGTACAAAAAATGTTTCAGATTTACCATTTTACCTGGAGCTTTTCATTTGCATGATACAACATTTACAATTCATCCCGCCTCCCGTCAGCAAAATTCTCATCTGCCACCCCCTGTGAAAACACAATCGACTCGCCCACGCGCCTGTCCGAAACAACACCGAGGTTACACCCATGAAACTGACAGCCCCAGATTTTTAAAAACGTTTTTCTCAAGTCAGGATAAACCTCCAGCGATAAGTGATATTGTTGTTTTATATGAGTTCAAGTTCACCCTCGTGCATTGGGTGTTAAAATTGAAGAATTTTTTTTTTGTTTACATGACGAAGTTGCACAAAATTCTGGCGGGGGGGGGGGGGGGGGGGGGGGGGTGGGGGGGGGGGGGGTGGGGGGGTGGTGGTCATATAATCAGATATATCATAGATGGCATCCTGGTGTGTTCTGTGAGGTCTATAGATTTGTGCTGTTTTTGGAACTGGGTGGTGTGTATAGGGGGTTGGGGGGAGGGGGGTATTGCGCAAGTTATATTTGCTTTAAATGTATATAAAATTATAATTATTCCAAGGGCAAATGTTAAAAAAAATATTGCTGTATTATTTAAAATGTCAGTTGTGTATCTGTAAGTCGATGGAAAAGTGTTGACTTGATGACGTCATCTACCTTCACTGCGTCGGTCACCTGTGGCGGCTCATTAGCATAATTACACTCTATGACCCTTTGATGGATGACCCGAGGTGTTGTAAAATTAATTAAATGCTCAACTGTCGCGGATGAGTGTTTTTTGTTAGGGGGTTCAGAGGCAGGAAACGTGTGGGGGTGTGAGCGATGTGTGGGGTGTGTGGGGGTGATGGGTGTGGGTAGATGGGTGGGGGGTTGATGGGTGGGGGTAGATGGGTGGCGGCTAGATGGGTGGGGGGAGACGGGTGGGAGGAAACGTGTGGGGTGTGAGCAGTGTGTGGGTGTGGGGATAGATGGGTGTCGGTGTGAGCATTGTGTGTGTGGGGTGTGTGTGATGGGGTATATGGGTGGGGTTTAGTTCTGTCGACAATCCGTATGCTATATACCCACACAATTATAGGTCGGTGTTCTTGTATGAAGATGAAGGTTAGTTAATTTACTGTTGATAGATTTACCTGGGATTTCTGAAATATTTAATTAGGGCAATAATTAGTCTGATATATTAAGCCTGGACAAATTTATTCGGGGATTCTTAGCTTGGGATATTTTATCCGGGATATTTAGTCAGATATATGACAAACAAGTTAGTACAGCAGTCAAAAATCTGTCACGTGACCAGACCCAGCTGTCCAGATCGCCTACGTCATCTCGCACCCATTCACCCCGCTTGAATAACGCCGGTACGATTGCGACCATTGTTCAGACGGTAGCGTGTCCCAACCTTTAGAAAAAGCCAGTGAACGGTTCCATTTGACTGACGTTAGCGTTCCTTATTTGTCTTTGACGGTCACATTCCACCCCACCATATCCGCCCTAACCTGACTAGTGACACTAGTCCACCGAACTGAATTTGGTATCAACCTTATCAGAAGAAAGAGCTGTGTAGACAGTTTAAAATTTGGGTGGGGGGGGGGGGGTGGTGTTTGAAGTATTGTCTTACCTTTTCTCTCACAAATTTTAAGTAGAGACAGATACCAGATAATCAACTAAATGCCAGCATTGTGGCAAGGTTGGGATAAGTTTAGACTGGGTAAGGGGCGTGCAGGTGGCTTGTCTTTATGTTCTGTGTACACTATATATTGTCTGGTTTGTATGTTTCATACCACTAGGTTTGTTTGACTTAACGCACCTGAATCGGAGGTCACATATCACCTGGTTTGTATGTCATAAATCACAGGTTTGTATGTCATAAATTCCCTGGTTTGTATGTTATAAATCATATGCTTTGTATTTTCATAAATCACCTGGTTAGTATGCCATAAATCACCTGGTTTGTATGTCATAAATCACCAGGTTTGTATGTCATAAATCGCCTGGTTTGTATGTCATAAATCGCCAGGTTTGTATGTCATAAATCGCCAGGTTTGTATGTCATAAATCACCTGGTTTGTATGTCATAAATTGCCAGGTTTGTATGTCATAAATCACTTGGTTTGTTTGTCATAAATCATCTGGTTTACATGTCATAAATCACTGGTTTGTATGTCATAAATCGCCTGGTTTGTAAGTCACAAATCACCTGGGTTGTATGTAAAAAATCACCTGGTATGTATGTCATAAATCGCTTGGTTTGTAATTCACAAATCACTTGGTTTGTATGTCATATATCGCCTGGTTTGTATGACATAAATCACCTGGCTTGTAAGTCACAAATCACCAGGTTTGAATGTCATAAATTGCCTGGTTTGTGTGTCATAAATCACCTGGTTTGTATGTAAAAAATCACGTGGTTTGTATGTCACTAATCCCATGCTCTAAACCATGCTGATACATATTGTGGAGTTTTTTTTTTTGTGTTAATCGTAAAATTCATACCATATGGCCGTGCCATCTGATTGCGATATATGTGCGTACACTTCATGATAGCTGATTCATTATTATACAATCAAGCCCGATCTTAATAAGAGCAGCTCATTAGTTTAAACATACATGTCTACATAAGCGGGATTTGACACATGCGACGATATATAATTCTCATCCATACAAAATCATTACCGATTATATTTTCTGTACATTGTTATGGTCAAAAGCTTTGATTCTTTTTGCTTTCTCAAAGTTTAGTAATTGGTGTTTAAGATAGCACTCAAACGTCTAAATAAGATGTAGAGGTAGAGATTAGGGCTAATGTACAAAGTTATGTGCAATAAAATGTGCAATAAAATGTGCAATAAAATGTGCAATAAAATGTGCAATAAAAAAAATTAAATTAAAATTTCTTGGAGACTGCTTACAAGGTACAGTTTTGTCGAAATCCGACATTTTAGGTCAGTGGTTGGCATAAAAATGTGTCCATAATTTTTCTATTTCACTCTCCTTAAGAGCCTTCCACGAAACAAAAATCTAACCCAAACATCACCTCAGATAAAAACATCAACTTTTTAACCTAAATTTAAAAGAAAATCTCAAATCTAAGATTAAACTTAAATCTAAGAGTACATCTTTTCCCTTTTCTTTCACAATCTAAATATTAAGATCCACAACAAAGTTTATTACTCTGATCTGCCACTTATGGATAGAAATGACCTGAAGCTTACATCAGCGCTCTACAACACACAAACACCATTTGACTAATTGAAAGAATAATTAAGAAACAATTAGAAACAGTTGCGCAAACCAATGTCTCCAAGCAACGTAAAAAAACAATCATGGAGCCAAATACCGCCATCTTTGTTTTTCTGTGTACATTTTTGAGAGGGACGATGGGATTCGGACAAACACAACAGGATGTCCGAGGAATTTATCATGGTTTTACATATATATATATATATATATATATATATATATATATATATATATATATATATATATATATATATATATATATATATATATATATATTTTTTTTTTTTTTTTTAATTTATATATATTTATATATATATATTATATAAACAAAAGTAATCTAGCATGAAATGTCTTAATTAATCTTTACCGCGTTTCTTTACATCGAAATTCAGTATATAATGTATGCTTAATTCGTTTAATTAGTTTTCTCTATCAGTGAGTAGCTTTTATTATGTTAAACTGGAGCTAAATACACCTTTTAAAAGCAGTGTTAATCCTACGCGGGTACTTAAAAAAATAATTAGTTTGTTGACGACCCAAGTTACGTGTTTATCCTCGCACTGATTGCGTTTTATGTCGGGGACAAATGTAGGTGTATAGGTGAGGATTGACGGAGAGTGGCCAAATCAAGTGGCTCTGATGGACAGTAGTCAAGAAAATGGCTTTGTTGAAGGTTGGCCCAGAAACAGTGGCCTCGCTAGAGAACGGTCAAATCAAGTGGCTCTGGCGGGTAGTAGTCAAGAAAGTGGCTGTGTTGAAGGTTGGCCCAGAAACAGTGGCCTCGCTGGAGAGTGGCCAAATCAAGTGGCTCTGATGGACAGTAGTCTAGAAAATGGCTTTGTTGAAGGTTGGCCCATAAAACAGTGGCCTCGCTAGAGAGTGGCCCAGAAACACTGGCTTTTGAAACATTTTATTTGTATAAGATAGAAACTTAGCTCAAGAACAAATAAAACAATGTGAATGCCACAATCCAGCATAAAACGAAACCTCTCATTATTACAATACACCGAAACAGGTCTCAGTTTTGGATGCTACAAAAGGCGGCCATTCCCTTAGCCGTACAACATCCCACGGCCCGTACCGAATGTTGAAATTACTGGTTTGTTTACGCAGCCTTTAATGAGGTTTTCTATCATCTAATTAGCATTAAGATAGTCTAGTAAAAAAATTAATTAGATATTAATTAGTTTTTTTTTAAACAGACCACATAGGACAAAGATTAACCTCGTGTTGATGATATGCGATCGAGTGTCTAGTTAGATGCGAATCTGTGGGTAAACGTTGGCGAGACATTGCCCCAGGGTAAAGGAAAAGTGGCGGGGGACAACAATAAAATGGGTGGCTATAGGAGGCAAGACTAAAATAATATATAACTAGAGGAGAGACAATCTGAAATAATCTGGTGAAACCAAATTAATATTTCAATTATTAAGTAGGCTAAACATGATTTAAGATTTAAAAAAAAAACAACGCGCCCAACGTGGGGCTCGAACCCACGACCCTGAGATTAAGAGTCTCATGCTCTACCGACTGAGCTAGCCGGGAACTTATCTACATATGAAGATTTAAATAAACCAAAATCCAAAAAAGAAAGTCGCGGAATATTAGTCTTCTATTTGGTTAAGTGGGTTTGAAATTGAATCAGTCTAATTAAAAAAAAATTGAATCGAATTTATCTACAGGAAGGGAAGCAAGGGCTGGTATTTTAATATATTCTTTACTGCTGATTAGACCTGCAAGTTAAAAATAGAAAGACATTTGTAATATATTATAATAATTAAATTAATTTTTTTTATTAAACATTGCTATTACTTTAAAATTTATAAAAAAAAATTCTACCTTTTCGGATGAATAACTTGACACTGACCTTTCAAAGAAATAATTCCCAATGTCTCCTTGTAACGCTCAAAATCTCAAATATAAATATCCTTTATACTTTTATACTGATTGCTTAATTGTTGTGAACAAAAAGTCAAGGCTGCTTTTTGTTTTTTTTATGTCCCGCTTCAAGATTTTAAAATACCAGTAGTAACCAATAAGCAATAATTATATTTTTTTTACCATTAATTGAATCAAAATAAACACAATTAGGCCTAGGCTGTTAATATAATAATAATACTATACTAATGCAGTAACTACATTTGGGACAATATAACGTAGGCTATATTTTTCGTTCAACTATCCTACATATTGTAGTATGTTATCGTCATTGTTTATTATTTTAGCGGAAGTAACATTTCTATTTATTTAATTTTTCCCGATTTAAGAAAAATATATACGTCTGGTTTGATAAACAGTAGCTGGCAAGTACGAAAACGAATTTTTTTGACCTTCTTACAATCCTTATATGCTTTAAAATGCTCTGGAATTAAGAAAATAAAACAAACTTTTCTTTGTTAAAAAATTATTGGTAGCCCATAAAATCTGTACACATAAGAGTCAAATGTTTCAAGGAAAATAGTATTGATTAAAAATTAGATATTCTGGTGTTGTGTTCGGAGACAAATGATTCTGAAATGCGAAATCACTGCATTTAAGGTTTTAAATAGAACTGAAATAAATTTGGGATTACAGAGAATAAAATCTTTTAAATCAGTTGTAGCATTTTTTTCCGATCAACGGAACAATATAAATATTTCCAACATTCGTAAGTCTACAAATTAAGTATTTAAAAAAGGTTGTAGTTTTCTATTTACAAAAGACTTTTATGATTTATGCATAATATATGAAACCTAAAGATTAAACAGACTCTTATAATGTATTTTTAATGTTTATATATTTTTAAGTAATAAACTATGGTTCGCTGTTTTCTTTCTTATTTTTCATAATGTATTAACTTTTGTGAACATACTTTTAGGTTGTTACCCTTGACTACTTAAATTTATTAATGGGAAGTAACTACGGAAAGTATTGTATTGCTCAACATTCCAGCTTATCTACAAATCATTAAACTATGATGTAATGTATGGATATATTAATTATAATATCACAATAACGTACAAACATATTTTATTTGTTTAATTTTATATTTTACATTTCAGTTCAAGTTTTTAAACCCAGCTCTTTATCAGGAAGGGGCGCCAAGGTGCTTGGAAATCTGTCATACTTTTGTTTTGGACTCTGGCCTATTACTTTCAATACAAATAGCCAGTGATTTAACGGTCAGATTCTCATACAATAAATTTGTATAATACGATTAAATAGTGTCCATTTATCTTTTATACCTGAAGTCCATTAACAGTAAGGACCAAAGGACTGATTGGTACAGGAAAAAAATTGCAAAAAATGAGGTGATAACATTTTGTCAGGACATCTAAAATTCTATCGACATCAGGAGCTGAGATGATGGACTGTTGTAGCCTGACGCTGACATCAACGTCTGATATGATGAATGTCTTAAGCTGTGGGAAAATGGTTTTAAAATTTTCGATAGTCGAGACACAATGAACCTGATATTAATTTAATTATCAATTCGTTTGAAAAAAATAAATGTCTTTAGTGTGTGTGCTAATTTAAATTTAATGAAAAAATTATAAAGTAAACAACTGCTTTTTGTTTAAGGTATAAAATATTGAGTGAACTAAATTCTGAAAATAAAGTTGAGCTCATGAGATTTCAAGTTAAACTAAGGGAAGTAACTTAGAGACACGGTTACCGGACTTGGCGTTGCGTCGACTAGGATTAGCACAGTATGTAAACGTTAAGCCAGTGAGCTTAGCAACTACAGAACTTTCCCTAACCTTGTTATCTCGAGATATACAGACATATTTTGGTTTGTTTATGTGCTGGCTTATATTGAGTCTTATTTAATACCTCAATACAATGATTCAGATTTCTAAAACATGTTTGTGAAGCATAACAAAATAAACAGAAAAGTATAGTAAAATGTATTCTATAGATATTTTATTTTTTAATCCATTAAAGTATAATTTTAAAAAAAAGCTACGCCCAACGTGGGGCTCGAACCCACGACTCTGAGATTAAGAGTCTCATGCTCTACCGACTGAGCTAGCCGGGCAGGTAACCATTACTCGCCGTTACATTTTAAAACACAGTGCTCCATAAATAACACTGCGTAAAATAATTTTATATCGGCAAATTTATTATCCCTTTTGATGTCTGTTAAACGATGTATGCATTGAACCAATATAAAGAGAGTTAATTGGTAAATGTCAAAATTAAGCCTTACATTTAATCAGAGGCGTAGCGACCCTTCCCGGCGCCCGGGGACAAACTTCCTCCCCTCAAGATTTCGATTTGCACCCCCCCTCAAACTTTCGATTTGAAAATCTGTATATGAAGGGTTATAAAATTCCAATGACAAAAAAAAAAAAAACAACAACAAAAAAACTTCGCCCAACGTGGGGCTCGAACCCACGACCCTGAGATTAAGAGTCTCATGCTCTACCGACTGAGCTATGTGAGATTTAATAGAAATTAATTAACACGCAGGCTAATTAACATCATTATCATACTTTGGCATTTTGCTTTGAATCAACAACAGAAAAGCTTTAATGATAAATTGGTCAATATTCTTTGTTTTGTATTTAGTTGAGGCTCAATACAAAGGCTATTGTCCATTAATCACTTTTCAACGTGAAAAAAAAGTTGATTTCTATACTGCCTTAAATATTTAGGTGTCCAACTGCAAATACCTTAAAAGATAATTTTTAGAAGTGGGTTTGAACAGCGAGCAGTGGGGTGTCTACCTATTGAGCCAGTAAGTTATCATAAGGTTAACTATTAATAAAAACATAATTCTTCAATTATGCAGTAAAAATAGGCTTTTTTCCCCATCTGTTTCACGGGGTGATTTATTTCCAGTCGGGTCAATGAGGACATCCAGACATAGAATTTTGTATCACTATTGTTTGATGCTGCAAGAAACACGTGACTATAGCCTATACATTTAAATGACAATGTAAATACCTCGGCTCAGTGTGTAACTAAATACAATTATTGACTTCATCTTTACGTTAATTGAGAGATGAAAGGAATTGAATAGTTGAATGAACCCACGCTGTTCCTATATCTTATTATAGCGCTGCGTAGGCAGAAAAAAAAAAAACAATTTCCTTACATTTTCTTTTCAAACTAAAAAAAAAAATAATACTCCCAACGTATTTTTATTGATTTAAGAAAATCTATCTTCCTTATAAATCAAATTTAAAATATCGAAAGTGTATGACGGTTACGTTTTTTTCATTACTTTCTAGAGTTCACTTGTAGTATTTATTGCCAAACATTACCAAAATAAATACTTAACTAGATAATGAACATTTATAGTATACTAGGTAAAAGTGATCACTTACCGTGTGTTTTTAAACAAAATATGGCTTTAAATTATTAATTAATGTTTTTTTTTTTTTTACATTTACAAAATGTGAAAATAAATGTCGCCCAACGTGGGGCTCGAACCCACGACCCTGAGATTAAGAGTCTCATGCTCTACCGACTGAGCTAGCCAGGCTTGTGACCCTTGTAAAACTAAATTCATCATCATAGTAAATGGGGTTACAGTTAAATCAGCGACACTAGTCAGAGAAATCATAAATGATATTAACGAGGATTTTCCCATCATTATTGTTGACATTGATTAAAATAGTATTTTCTAAGATTTTTTCATCAAAGCGGCCGTAAAAAAAAATTAACAAATTAAGAGGATATTAAGCTGATAGAGAGGATGACGATTCATTAATCCTTACAGCACTTTAGGCCGACTAAGCTAACATGTTCAGTTTTGTCAGCTATGGCTATATCTTGATTGTGGTAAGATGCCGTGATAATCCTTCATTTTACCAGGTACAAGACAGTCTCTAGTTGCTGTGTTTCTCAAGTTAAGGTTTCATTATTAGGGCAACACGAAGGTCTGTAGGGCAACAAAAAGGTCTGTGGCGCAACAAGAAGGTGTGTATGACAACACTTAGATCTGCCACTTTGTGAGCCTGATACTTCAGCACATAATAAAAAATAAAAAAAAAACTTACGGTTATTTAAATAAAAACAACGCCCAACGTGGGGCTCGAACCCACGACCCTGAGATTAAGAGTCTCATGCTCTACCGACTGAGCTAGCCGGGCCGACATGATTAAATATATTCTTTCTCGACATAAGACGAACAGGTTGCATAGAAAAATAAACAAAAAATCAGCCACTTGCTGACCTTACATGATGTGTTTGGCTTCTAGCCACTTCCGATACAACGTGAAATCTGCTTTAAAAGCGAATAAAACGCAACTCCTTTGTTAAGACAAAGCGCTTGACGTGGCGTTCAAACACATCTAGATCGCCATAATATAGATATAGCCCTTTGTCTGTGCATCTCTAAAAACAATCAAGCTACTGTTACCAGAGTTTCTTTAATGCATCTCTTCGGGACACACACACATACACACACCCATCCCCCCCCCCCCAAATAAAAAATGGAATTTATATATACACATTTACTTCAATCAGTCTTCACCCTACGAAAGTTTCAAGTCGTCCCCCCCCCCACCCCATCGAGGAAAAATGTCTGAAAGTAACACTGACCATTACCACCCACATCAACCCCTTACTGTTGTCTACACGGCGAAAAAAGATGAACTAATATAATGTAGGAGGGTTGAGACCATGGCTACAATACAACAATAATCACCAGTAAGTTTTGTTGGCTGGGAATTGTTGTCTGGGAATTGTTGGTTGGGAATTGTTGGCTGGGAATTGTTGACTGGGAATTGTTGGCTGGTAATTGTTGGCTGGGAATTATTGGCTGGGAATTATTGGCTGGGAATTATTGGCTGGGAATTATTGGCTGGGAATTATTGGCTGGGAATTATTGGCTGGGAATTGTTGGCCTGGAATTGTTGGCTAACAAAAGCGAAAGTTGGGTCAAATTTCGCTAGACTGGTGGGCGTTTTAAAAATTAGCGTGACGTTGGTAGGTAAACATAAACAAATGTCGGTTCTGTTGGCCCATCAATCTGTTTTATAATGAATCCAGAATGGGAAACTACAAGTTATGTATTTAAAACTACCTGTTCAACGTTGAGGGTGTGATACATCAACATGACTGATCTCAAGGTGTGATGTAAGAACAGAACGCTAAATCAGGAATAACGTGACAGGTGACAAGAGTACCTTGAGCAGGAGTAAAATAACAGGTTGTTGAACTCGTTACATATTGAGAAGGGGGGGGGGGGGGTGTTTGTTATACAATACAGTAAAGAGCTAATAACCATTTGACCGAATGGGGAGTGTGTTAAACAAGATAGAGGATTGATGAGAATTTTACTTTGTCCTTTGTGTAATTGTCTGATGTTGGTTGTACTGTTGTATGCCTGCTAAAACTGCTAAAACAGTGACTGGCCAGTTTGTATTTTCTGTATTAGTGTGTGTGTATTTGTGTATCTGTATGTGTGTGTGAGGGGGGGGGGGGGCGGGGCTGTGTGGTGTAAGGCGGCATTAGGTCAGGTCAAACAAACATGTTAGAAAAAAAAAGGTTGACCCTAATCCAAATGTTTAGTTTCTTAAAAGACTATTTTTATTCCGATTCATCTTATAAATACTGAAGTTAACTGATTCATCGAAGCGTCTGTTAGTTTAAAATTTTAACAAATATAAATGATCTCAACTATAATAGTTTTATTTAGGTATAAAATCAGTAAGATGTGTTTTCTAGGTATAGCTAATTTTAGCATCACAAATTAAAGGCCGGACTGTCGGGGTCGAAGCTTTTATTTCTAGCTAGCAGTTTAATGTTTCGCTAATCGAGATCAACTGTTGATAAATTATTGTTCGAACTATAGAATCAACTGTTGATAAATTATTGTTCGATATATAGGATCAACTGCTGATAACTTATTGTTCGGAATATAGGATCAACTGTTGATAAGTTTTTATTCGATGTGTGGAATCAACTGTTGAAACGTTATTGTTCGCATATATTTCCACCCACAAATTCAAGACCCATAACTCGGCACCGATTCTGTAGCAGCAATCTGTTGTTTCCACGGTTACCCCGCATTATATCCCACGATCAAAGGGGAGCTACCTCGCTAGGGTGGATGACGTCACAGGCTGTCAGACACCCACTGGCCAGATTTCGCCGCAAATATTTCCCGTCTACTTAATCTTCTGGCCTGTAACAACACAATGATGAAACGCGACTGAATGAAGGATGATATTTTGGCTGACATTTCGTCCCACTTGGGGGATGCCGTACATCCGGGTACTCAAATCACCTGCAGCAATGGAGGCAAGTCTACGGCGTCTATTTTTAAACCTGCCGTAGAGTCAACTTTAACACACGATTTTAAGTGGCGGGCTAAGGTAGGGCACGTGATGTTTGATTCAGGTACAATGTAAGGTCAATAGGAGAAACTTTATTATCTGCTTTCTTTTGTTTATTATTAAAAGTTAACTAAACTTTGATGATGTGGCGACCCTGGCTACAGGACATTACCCCCCTGGATATTTCCCCCCCGGACATTCCCCCCCCCCCCGTATTTACCCCCCCGGAGCAATTACCCCCCTGTCAATTACCCCCGGGGAATTACCCCCCCCCCCCTCTCAAGTTAAAATCCTAACTCTAACTAGAATTTTATACCTATATACTACTTTAATCCAAACCTTAAGAAAAAGACCAAAACCTAAGCATCCACCTTAGCCTAAAACTTTACACAAAACCAAAACTAGACACAACCCTAACCCTAACACTAGCTCTAACCCTAAGCCTAGCCCTAACCCTAATCTTAACCTTAACCCTAACCCTAATCCTAACCCTAACCCTAACCCTAACCCTAACCCTAACCCTAACCCTAACCCTAACCCTAACCCTAACCCTAACCCTAACCCTAACCCTAACCCTAACCCTAACCCTAACCCTAACCCTAACATTACCCTAACCCTAGCCCTAACCCTAGCCCTAGCCCTAGTCCTAACCCTAACCCTAACCCTAACCCTAACCCTAAAACCTAACCCTAACCCTAACCCTAACCCTAACCCTAACCCTAACCCTAACCCTAATCCTAACCCTAACCCTAACCCTAGCCCTAGCCCTAGTCCTAACCCTAACCGTAGCCCTAGCCCTAGCCCTAGCCCTAGCACTAGCCCTAGCCCTAAATCTAACCCTAACCCTAACCCTAACCCTAACCCTAACCCTAACCCTAAACCTAAACCTAAACCTAAACCTAAACCTAAACCTAAACCTAAACCTAAACCTAAACCTAAACCTAAACCTAAACCTAAACCTAAACCTAAACCTAAACCTAAACCTAAACCTAAACCTAGCCCTAACCCTAACTCTAACCCTGTCCGGGGGGGGGGGGGGTAATGTCCTACTGGGCGGGGGGTAATTGACAGGGGGGAAATGCCCTGTTCCCGGCGACCCTAGGGTAGATGAAGTAGATTTTTTTTCTGTCACCTAAGCATATGAATTGCATGGTCG